AAACTTCAATTTAATTATATAAAAATGTTCTCCAATGTTCACAGATCATTTTAGAGTCATTAATTCGTAATTTTAACAACAATTTCATGGTTTATGATTCTTGGTTCTTCAAACATGTCAAACACAAAACTCAACCAAACGACCGTTTATGAACGTAGAAACGATCTATACGAACATTCTAGTCACTAGATATATCTACGGGCTTACCTCGAAGCTTATCGAAGGTTTTGAGAATTTTCCGGCGACGATTACTCTCAGCTCCGGCGACCTCTCACCAAATTGACAACACCAATGAACTCTCCACTAAACAAGGAACTGAATGATACTAAACTTACTAAGTTTTGGTGCAGAAATGGAAGCTGGTTTTTCCTCCTTATATAGGAAAATGGAGAAGGAAGAAGACAATGGTGTAGCTAGTTCTGCGTAGGAAATGACTCACGATCGGCTGAGTGGAGGAGGGGGCACCGTCTGCACAGTCTCCCTGATTGGGACCAATTTTGGTTCCAGTTGGAGTACACTTTTTGGTCCAACTTTCTCCAAATTGAAATCCGTTCGCACCGTTGCGATCAGACAGTCGAATTCTATTCAACGACATACTTCTCATAATTATTTGTAATACTTTTTCCGACATCATATTTTCGGGTGGTTGACTTTGATAGAGTAAAAATTGGTTTAATTGACTTTTCTCATAAAAGGTTCTCTTATTTAATTCATATCAATTATTCTCATGATTTATTTTAACAAATCATTTAAATATTTACATTATAAACAAATTTTTCATTTACTCTTGATTTGGGTGTGTAATATGGTTCCCAATCAATATCACACAATTAGTCAACATATTGGATTTATCTCTATGAGACTTATCCAGATTTTGATATTCGAAATTAAAACATATTTCATATCGGCCCAAAGCCCAACAATAATTTATTTTAATCAAAACAAATTTGATTAATTGAATTATTCATTAATAATTTTAGGGTATGTTTTGGGGCGTTACAGTCATCAAATGCATCATCACTGTCAGTCTCCTCTTCTGCACTCCCACCATCATCTCCCCCACTCACTGCATCATCTCCAGACACATCTGAACCAGCATTCTCATTCCCATTTGCACCACCATCTTCCACAGAATCTTCGTCATCCTCGCCCAAGTCGACAAGCGCTGCGTGTACTTTTGGCCTTTTCTTAATCTCTACAAGCTGCAATCTACCGCTTCTTCGAATCGGTGAAGCCATTACAACAGTTTTCTTGCTGCGCTTGGAACTTTTTTTCAAGGCAAGATCTGCAGACCTCACAAAAAAAACCAAAAACAAATACTCGTAAGAAAGGATACAATTCCTAATCACAACACAAAACATAACAACGCCAACGTGGTGTTTGTGTGGACACCCAAACAACCAAACCACACCAAACAACACCAAACAAGAATATCCAAACCATTTTACACTTTAAAGAATCAAACCCTTATGTATTAGTATAAAATGCACAAAATTTCAATACACAACATTTCTATAAACCAAAAAATAATACCAAGCATAAAGTAGATTAATTACCTACAGATTGATACAGTACCATATTATTAACAAAGCTAGATACACAGTAAGCCCCCCTCTATGCTAATATTAAACCATGCATTGTACAAAGCTAAGCAAACACCAACTACTACACTATATGCATCAGACCACAAACACAATTTCTGACTCCAGCTGAACACTATCAAACTCCACCGCACCATTGTCAAAATGAGAAATTCTTACAATACCATATCCTACAACTCTCATCATTGTTTACCATGCACCAATAATACGTTAATCTAAAGCCACGTTAAAACATTTTGCACACTCACATTATCACAATGTTCAGACCAAAACATGCCTCTTATTCATCCCAATTGAATCACATAAATCTATAAAATGCAAACTAAGTATATAACTATTATGAATGCAATGCACAGTATTAGTAACAAAACGATCACTAAGCAATCGCTCTTCACCAGGGAAAAACCCATGAATTAGCAGAACGAACACTACAAAATAAGCCAAACCATGTCATACATTGGCAACACCACACTGCTTTAAACACTCAATGCAATATAACTTTACCAATACACACATACCAAAATGTAAGAAACACCATAACTTATACACAAGCACCATAGGCATCCAATGCACACCTCAAAAGCAGGATACTTCACGAAAACCTATATTCTTTATATAGTACTAACAAATTAATTCAACAATACAATGCTCATATAAAAACTCAGCAGAATGTCTATTGCACCACAACAATATAATCCACTTAAAAAAGGCCAAACATGTTGCACAATTACAATAATTTAGTGCAGATATGAAAAGGACACCTTAGCCAGACACAAACACTCAATCAGATCACAAAAATGCATTATAGCCTATTCACAGGAAACAACTGAGGAACAGTTCGCACACAACTTAAAATTGTAAAGTATAACATCACAGTACACATGATTCATTCACCAATACAGCATCACAACATCAAAAAACCAGATGTCCACATGCAATACACAAAACGCAATCACACTACGCCAGTCAATTTGTTTAACAAATAACAACACTATATATTAAGTACACTATAAGGACAACCAAAAGCAGAAAAACCCCATATTCATGTTTGCAACTTATGAAAGAATTTCACAAAACACAGTAAACACTAAATTCAAAATAAAATTTCACATTGCTCAGATTCAGCACACCCTAATTTATGAAACCAACCCAAACTGCACATCAACCTCAAGATGATGCGACCACATGACACTGCAACACTTAAAATCATCCGAACATAAATAAACATCCATCCTCCATATACTTATAATGCACAAAAAACCCACACACAACTTTAAAAAAAACAACCATCTTGTCCCAGATTCAAAGAATAAAAAATAAACACAAATCCTCGAATTAAGACAAAACACATGCAAAAAAAAACCCAATCAACAACCCAAAACCCAAAACCCCTACCGGTAGCCAAATTGTGCAGTAAGACACCATTTTTTACTCAATCAACAACTATCATGAGTAAAGAATGCATCCTCAAACACATGCAAAAAAAAACCCAAAACCCAAGTCACCCAAAAAAACACCAAAAAAGTGGCACATACCAGATACTCCTTCAGCCTCCATCTCTGCAATCCTCTTTCGGCGGTACGAAACGGGCACAAGTCCGACCCAAATGCTCAAATAACACCTTGAGAATGATAAATCTCTGCACCACTAGCACAAGAAAGGTAGCGCAACCAGCGAGGTTTATTGAGAAGTGAAGAGTTCTATTCTGAGCCTGTGACTTATTAGGCGGGATTCTCCCACATCTACGCATTTCAATAAAATCAAATCTCCCAAATATGCCCCTCCACGATTCTACTGTCAAAAGGAGTGTAAAATAATAATTACACTTCCTATTTTAAAGGTTGGATCTCAGCCACACGATTGGATTAATCCTAGGCTCCTAATCCATTCTTAGTTCTTTCATTGAGACATATTCTTATTAGAACCCAACCCTATATATATATATATATATATATATATATATATATATATATATAATATATATATATATATATATATATATATATATATATATATATATAATATATATATATATATATATATATTCTATTGCCTTCAAAAATATATATATATAATGTTTAATATAAATTCCATTGCCCAAAAAAAATATTTAAAATGTTCGAAAAACCCGGTTGTGGTTAGCCACACATATTTGTGTGCATATTATATTTCATTTTTTGCAAACAAGTAAAAATTGCCACATTTGCATGTGCGGTGCATTAGAAACACATATAAATGTGGCAAATTAAAATATTAACAACACTTATAAGTGTGGTTAAAGTATTCATTAGCCGCACTTAATATAAGTGTGGTAAAAAATTCCCCACAGAGCCAGCCGCCACACTTAGCACATGTGCGGCGAACACTCTCTCCCACACTTATATGTACAGAAAACAGTAATTTTAAGTGTGGTGAAAGACGGATTTTTTTGTAGTGACCATTGTATAACCATTCAGCGATGGATGCTGCTTCCCATATTGGATAAAGGTGCAACCCTATAGCTGCAGAGGTTGGAATAATAGCACCTGAAATGAAATTATATCCATAGAGTAGAGATCCAGAAATAGGTTCACAAAAACAATCAATATCTACTAAAGGCGCATCAATGAAAGCAATAATAAATACAGAAGTTGTGGTCGACAGTGTAGGGATCATCAACACACCAAACCATCCAATATAAAGACGATTTTCATTGCTGGTTATCCAGTTACAGAAACGACCCCATAAGTTTTTGATCTTGCGTCTATCTATAACAACAGTCATAGTAACTTATTAAGTATATTTAATGATCACGAACTCCCAAGCATATGAAAAAAATAGAACTGAAGAATGCTTGTTATTTTATGATATATAATATGTTCCAATCGATATCGCTCATTTGAGAAAAACCTAAGGCTACGAATAAAATTTTAGTGGAATCGGGATATTTGAACCCGGATAAAGTAAACAATTGATTCAAAACCCCGGTTCATACATCATACACGTTAAGTTTACTCTTATCCTACATGGGAATTTTAATTTATATGGTGTATACTTTATTTTTTAACAAAAAAATTTAAAGTGGGAAACATACTGTTTATTAAATTTATTTATTTGGATCAAAATATCATACCCAAGATAAATTTCCATGGAAAACATTTAGGATGCAAAAACTTGGATAAATCTAATCCCCTTTTTTTAAAAAACGTCCTAAATTGGATTATCTCGATATGATTACCATGAAACTGACAGAATCTTCCGATTGGACCATGACACGAACACCCGTTTTCCCAGCCAAAAACTGATTGACGATAAATGGAAAGTGTCTATGATTTATGTTATTCTAAAAAACAAATAAATAGCAATTATTTATTCTTTTTAATAATAATTCAAATGACACTACACCAAAAACAGTATTAGATGACTGTCGACTAACTACTGTTAATGGAAACACAGTACTTGGAAAAAGCAGACTACTCTAAGTTTTTCTTAGCAACAGAATAGTAGTCTAGGTTTTATGCTTTAAAACTATTTTTAAAGTTTCAAGAAACGGTAATGTATCATTAGTTTTCTGTGTTAGTTCAAATTTTTTTTACAACAGTTGTCAATAACAAGTTAAGAATACTCTATTTAAACAATCGTCTGGGCTTTTAGTCTAGAACTGTTTTTAAACTTATTAGAAACAGTTATATATTGCTTGTTGTCTGTTTCATATTGTTTTTTTGCCACTGTTTTTTATAATTGTAATAGAAGACTATTTGGCAATAATAGCTTATGTATTATGGGTAGAACTATTTTTGAAGCTGTGAGAAACTGTCATCTATCATTAGTAGTCAGTTTCATCAAAAAAATATAGTTTTTATTGCAACGGTTTTCAATAATTAGTTAAGACTACTAGTACTTAGTAACTGAAGTTTGGTTTCTCGATGTATAATTGTTTTTAAACTTATAAGAAATAGTATTCTATTGTTAGTTGTATGTTTCATATGGTTTTTTTGCAGAATTGTTTATTATAAGAATAGAAGACCCCCTTGTAACAATAGTGTATTTATATAGCGTAGAACTGTTTTTGAAATTCATAAAAGCCGTAATCTATTACATGTTGTCTATAATAAGTTAAGAATATCGTTTTTAAATAATAGTTAGACTATTAAGCTTAGAACTATTTTTAGAGTTTGGAGAAACCGTAATGTATTACTAGTAGTATGTGTCACAACATTTTTTTCACGGTTATCTATAATAAGTAAAGAAAACTATTTTTAAGAGAATTGTGCGTAATAAGCGTTCAACTCTTTTTAAAGTCCTGGGAAATAGTAATCTAATACCAATTGTCTGTGAGATGATTTTTTAGCAGAGTTGTTTATAATAAGTTAAGAATACTCGTTTTAAACAGTAATCTAGCTCTTAAGAGCCTAGAACTATTTTAAAAGTTCAGAGAAACGGTAATAATTTTTGCAATGAAAATGTATACGCTCTCTAACTTTACTTTCATACTTTCAGGAAAAATTTATACAACAATCAAATAACCGTTGTTTTAAAGAATTATATGGACATAAAAAAATAAACACTTCCATTCAAACGAAAGAAAAAGTACATGGACGGGCTGGGTACTGTCCCGCTACACACAAAGGGAATTGGGAACCCATACAATCAATCAATCTCACATCATAAAACAAAAAAACAATTAGAAGATGGCGAGATGCAAATAGAATGTATGACCCAAGGTTTAATGAGGAATGGAGTGCGACAACCAGAGAACAACATTTTTTGGTCAAGAAACTGCTCTGCTGCTGCAATTTTGCACGATGATGCCTCCAAGACATGATTTGTTATAGGCCAAAAGTTGGTTCTTTTTAATAGTGGTAAGTTGAAATAAAGGCAATGACCAACAAGCATACAACAAATACTACATATCCTTCAAGTTAGGAAATGACTCATCAACATGGATATCTGTCAAGCTTCATCCTTCAAGCATTCCGTTGATATCCTTCAAGCAGCTTCGTCCTTCAATCATCCATTCTGAAAGTAATCATACACACCTTAGAGTAGAAACCAAAATGGAAAAACCCACCAACAAAACTTGACAGTACAAACCTTGGAAAAAGCCACCAAGAGAACAGCAATATAGTTACACCCAAAAAGCAAAAAAACTATGGCCCAACGTATCCATCAGGAGGACACAACTTAACAGCAACAACAATATACAAGAGGACAAGCATTGCTAGCAGTGACATGAACACATCATGAAAACCCACAAACAAAACCTTGACATCCATGGTCATGTTGTGAACCAAGGACCTCAAGTCGTAGCACAAAGCCCAACTATTTTCCTCAAAGCTCTCAAACCTTGCTGGTGGAGGCATTAGGACCAAGAAAATAGCTTACCTCATCCCTACACCAGCAGCAGCACGGTCTTGATCAGCCCACATCCTCCTCTCTCAACCCAAGGGCCAAAGGAAAGAAGGTGTGTGGAAGTGGAAGACCTTACCACAACAAACTAAAATCATCTGGTGCACATGGGAAGCGGTTGGCATGCCAACAACCTAAATTCCCAACAAGGTCGTGCAATGCCCAAGTGTATGTCTACGTTCACCAATGCATATCATTCCAAAGCCAAAGAAATAGCTCAAACACAGCCCAAGTACCACCAAACAGTAGAACATAACAATGAAGATGAAAAATAACCTAAGGCAACCCAAACATGACCAAAGTGCAATATCGAATAGTCAAAAACAGAAGCAAAACCTTGGACTACAAAACCAATCCAATTGCCTAACAGACAATTTCTCAAATAGACCCCAATAGTAGTTCAAACACCCCAAACATAATGAAGATTTCCACTCCAAACCATAGTACACACAGCCCCCAAAGAAGGAGTCTGCTGTTCGAAAATGGAAGCAAGGAAAACCAATGTTTCCAGCCCCAATGAAGGCCAGGAACTTATTCAAGGCAAGTAGAACCGTAGCAATGGAGAAATGGATAGTGCTCGAGACCAAGAAAATTCAGGGAGAGAACACCCATTAATGGATTACAAATCTAGTTAAGGAGATGAAATGCACCCTAAATCATGACCAAAATGCACTAGAGAGTCGGAGAAAAAGAATGCAAGACACCTGGGAAATCGCAGTTTGAAGTTCGTCTGTGAACGAATTCTTACATATACTGGAAATCCAATTTCAGAATCCTTTTTAGCATCCCAAGTCACCCAAGAAACCCCAAAAGATTGCCTTCAAATGAGCTTGAACTGATGTGGATTAATCCTCAAAATGTCGTAGATGAATAATGACTCGAGAGGGTTGACCTTCAATTTTGCCTAGATTTAACCTTCGAGGTCTGCAACTGAGCTTAGCACTTGGTTCCCACGCCTCAAACAAGACTAGAGCGCCAAGAATCGCAAAAAAAAACACCAAAAATAGAGGAAGCATTTGAAGATCTTAGCTCAATCAAATTAGATCTAATTAGATCCGATCTAATGCATTCAAAGATTAGATCAGACAAATAAAAGACAACCTACATGAGTAAATTGATTTTTTAGAAAATTAGATATAATCTTATTGGATTTGAATTTGATTTGATCTGATTAGATCTATTTTTGTGTGATTCGATCTAATGAGATCCAATCTAATGCATTTAAAGTTTATATCAAAAAAATAAGACAACCAACACAAGTAAATTGTTTTTTCAAAGACTAGGTCTCATCTTAATAGATTTGAATTTGATTTGATCTGATTAGATCTATTTCGGTCTGATTCAATCTAATTAGATTCGATATGATGCATTTAAGGATTAGATCACGAAAATATGACACGACATATACAATTAAATTGAATTTTTTAATATTTGTTCTAATCTTACTAGATTTGAATTTGATTTGATGCGATTAGATCTACTTTGGTCTGATTTGATCTACTTTAGATCCAATATGATGCATTTAAGGATTTGATCAGGCAAATAAGATACAACCTATACAAGTAAATAGATATTTTTGAAGATTTGATATGATCTTATTGGATTTGACTTTAATTTATTCCGATTAGATCTATTTTATCTGATTTGATCTAATTAGGTCTGATTAGTATGTTATATTGAAAACTCTTTTAATATGATCTAGTCTAATCTGATATGATGAAATCTGATTTCATTAGATGTCATCTAATCAACATATAAACATGTTAAATTGAGATGCAGTGGGTCACATGAAATGTACAAGTAATAAGATCTTATTGGATTTGATTTGATCTAATCTTATCTGATTAGATCTAATCTGATTGGCATGCTGACGGGATTATTATTATTATTATTATTATTATTATTATTATTATTATTATTATTATTATTATTATTATTATTATTATTATTATTATTATTATTATTATTATTATTATTATTATTATTATTATTATTATTACTCCCTCCATCCAAGTTGAAACTTCTCGTTTTGACTTGGCACGGATTTTAATGTAAAGTAAAAATTACTCTGTGTTGGGAAAAATATTATAGATTTTGATGATGATGTATTTAGAATGTAATAGGGACTGTAGGTCTCCCCAAATATTCAATGTAATTTTTCCTTTTAGAAATATTGTTAAAACCAAGTTCTTGAGATTTCCAATAAAGTTGTGATATTTCTTTAAGCGGTTTGATGCCTGAAGACTTAATCAAATTCAGAAATTTGGAAATTGGATATCTTGATCGGAAATGTCAGAGACAAGTAAGGATCTCTCAAAGCAGATGAGAATCCTTCTATCCGGAAGACTACATGAGAACCGGATGTCTCGCTACAACCTGCTGAAGGCTAAGTCGGAAGACTAGCGCGGATTTCTTTCTCACCCGGAAGACTGAGTATGACTCTTCCGAATTTGTCAGCTAAGAACCGGATGCCTCAAGGAAGACCGGAATTCTCAAAAAGCGGACAAGTGAGAAAAGACTTAGAAAATTATCTAAGTCTTGAATGAAGAAATTCTACCCGTTGGTAAGGAAAAATCAATCTCTTGATTTTAAACGGCTAGATTGAAGATAATTATGCTGATTCAAGAACAAATGACTCGAAGACAAAGTCTGGACCTCTAAAAATTGAAGAACCTGTCCAGAATTCCTAAACAAGCACTAGAAGACAAACAGAGTAAAGTGCTACAGTCCAGAATTCTTGAACAACAACTAGAAGACAGATTCTATGGAAAAAGGAATCCCTCCTTTAACAATTGGGTATGTCCAAACACGCATTCCAATGAGGAATCTTCAAATCACAATCTTCATTCAAAATTGAAGCCAGCAAATGCAACGGATAGTCTATTTTGATTCAACGGATAGATTATCCAATCCAGCTATAAATAGCATCCTTGGAAGACTGGGGAAGAAGAAAAACAACAACTCATCAACGATAAGAAGAACAACCACAAAGAGGCTACCTCATTCACAGTTAGCCCAAAAAGCCTGATAAAGAGAGATTTCTAAACTCCTTATCCAAAAGCAAACTTCTCCTCCTTCCAAAGAGCTATAGTGTAAATACTTGAAGGTTTTGTTGCCTCAAGTACCACACCACGTTGAAGGATACAACTTTTGATCAAACTTATTGATTGAAAGGGGGTAGGTCAACTTTCTTACAAGTTGGTCTTGCAAGTCCTATTATTCGGACCTTGCAGTTGTTGAAGAAGCGTGACCCTCGAAGGAACAACAAAGCCAGCACGAGTGCAGTAGCAACATTGGCCTTGCGAAGATATACTCTGCAGAAATTCACACAAGTGTAATTGTTGGTTCATTATTCAACAACCAACTACATAGTGGATTTTGAGGACGTAGAAGGATTACCCCACCTTCGAACCTCGTTAAAGTTTGCGTGTCTCTCTCTTTTATCTTTATTCTTACTTGCAATTATATTAACTGTGAAAACTAACCCATCCATATTGATTACTGCTCACTCTACCCACCAACTTCCGCACACAATCTAAAGTTCACAAGAACTCTAGATTAACACTCATTTTCACGTTTTCAAAAGAAACGAAAAAGTTTTAAATTTGTAACAAAGTCTATTCACCCCCCC